GAATACATCGGAAAACAAGGATTGACCCAAGTTTTTTACATAGAGTTGGAAAGCGATTTTGAAACATGTATTTTAAATCAAGCCACATTAAACAGATTCTGTTTTTTTTTAAGAAGAAAGTGTTGGTTTATAGAAAATGGAAATATAAGGAATGAATGTGGACCTTGTTATCGCCGGGTCATTTGTCTTGTCACATGATAAACAAGCGTTTATTTCCCCATAACGATAACAAGATCCACATTCATTCCTTAATTGAACGAATGAATGAATGAAATAAGGATGATATTTGGAACAGATTTAAATTCATAGTAAGCACAAATAAAATTCAAAGTATATGTGAAACATTGGGATATAAAATTTATTATTAGAATATTACATTTCAATATCAATAGTCATCTGATGACAATGACTCATAAACGATACAAAACCTAGTAACAGCTATTAACAAATATGAGAACTGTTTTCAAATAAATCAATAGTAACTACAATATGCCTATTACTTCATTGTAGACAATCCATTAAAAACATATAATTATAAAGAATTATCCAATTCTAATCAGAATAGCAATAAGGTTGATCTAGACAGTATCACCCACTCTAGATCAACATACAGACAATATCACTCACTCTATATTGACATACAGACAATATCACTCACTTTAGATTAACATACAGACAATATCACTCACTCTAGATTAACATACAGACAATATCACTCACTCTAGATTAACATACAGACAATATCACTCACTTTAGATTAACATACAGACAATATCACCCACTCTAGATCAACATACAGACAATATCACTCACTCTATATTGACATACAGACAATATCACTCACTTTAGATTAACATACAGACAATATCACTCACTCTAGATTAACATACAGACAATATCACTCACTCTAGATTAACATACAGACAATATCACTCACTCTAGATTAACATACAGACAATATCACTCACTTTAGATTAACATACAGACAATATCACCCACTCTAGATCAACATACAGACAATATCACTCACTCTATATTGACATACAGACAATATCACTCACTTTAGATTAACATACAGACAATATCACTCACTCTAGATTAACATACTTGTAATTGATACACTCACTCTAGATGAACATACAATTGATACACTCACTTTAGATTAACATACAGACAATATCACTAACCCTAGATTAACATACAATTGATACACTCACTCTAGATAAACATACAGACAATATCACCCACTCTAGATTAACATACAGACAATATCACTTAATCGAGATTGACATACAGACAATATCACTCAATCTAGATTAACATACAGACAATATCACTCAATCTAGATTAACATACAGAAAATATCAGTCACTCTAGATTAACATACAGACAATATCACTCACTCTAGATTAACATACAGACAATATCGCTCACTTTAGATTAACATACAGACAATATCCCTCACTTTAGATTAACATACAGACAATACCACTCACTCTAGATTAACATACAGACCATATCACTCACTTTAGATTAACATACAGACAATATCACTCACTCTAGATTAACATACAGACAATATAACTTACTTTAGATTAACATACAGACAATACCACTCACTTAAGATTAACATACAGACAATATCACTCACTCTAGATTAACGTTAAAGTCTTCTTAACAAATCTGTTTCTGGTCCACTACAAAAGAATAAAAGATGTTCACCTAACAAAGCTTGCATATTGGTAAAGTTAGAAGTTAGTCAGGTAGAACAGTTTTCATAATACAAAGGTAATCAGAATACGATGCTCAGAGCTAAAATATAATATCCCGTTGAATATTTTTATCAAAACAGATCATGTACTTATCCTATAGCTGTTAAGACCTAGTTGACTTGATAAGTAGGATTTCTATTTAGTTCATTTAGAATTTCAGCACTACTTTCCTTGTTATTCATAAAACTTGAGAAGCAATGGGGGATGGTATAATATGGAAAATCATCCAATTGTCACACTGAACAGTTACAAACCCAAATGCTTGATCTTGCATTTGCACTGAACTTTCTTTCAAATTGTTCATTTACAAAGGTTTGTGGAATTAGGAATATTTACAATATTATTCATGATATACTACATGTCACTGAGAGCCTGTCATATGGTTTGCATCATTAGCATTTTTAGTCCATAGAAATATATGCTAATGTAAGATATCTTTTGTTGGAAACACATCTCCTTACACTAGCTGCTATCAATATGTTGTTTTGTAATTACTGTTTAGATTTTTGGTTTTGTTTTGTAGTACACTCCAACACAATATCATTTGACGGTATCATTCACTGACACAAAATAATCAAAGATATCAAATAATTACATTATAACATACAACATTATTACAGTAATACAATATATACACACATTATTATTGAGCAATATTCACAATTGATAATTAAAAAATCTTTACAACTTCTAATACATGTTTACAATACATACAATACAAATTGCTCTGATTATTCTTAACTTAAATAATAGTAATTTTAAAGCCATACAACTTAAATGGTAATAATTAATGAGTTAAATCATTTGATCCAATATTCAATTATGAATCAAATGAAGATATAAATAAAGGCTAATCTGTTTCAATCTGCTTAACTTAACTTAATATCAAATGCATCAATATTGCAACTACGGTTCATACCATTTACAGGTCAAAAGCAAAATAATTTAGAATGAGTGATAACCAGGAACAACCTGTCAACATTTTAGTAACTTGGCTACCATAACAAAAAAAAACATCATACACTTAAAGGGACAGATGTGCCATTTTTAGTCTTCAGAAGTACTAGAAATGTACAGAAAATCACATAATTCCTTTAAAAATACTTAAAACTCAGAATTTACTCACTATTTCTATATATGTCTTTTTTATTTATCACAAAGTATCTTAAATTGGCGAGTTGCCATTTTAACATTCAAACATATATAATTCTGGATACAAATTGATTTGAAGGCTCAAATTTCGACTGTAAACACTATTACGGATTTGCTCAGCTAAAAATGTCCAATTTCTGAGAATAAAGCATGATCAGTCAAAAAAATTATTAAGGTTCATTATTGTAGTTTATTAGGGACACCAGTTCAATTAAAATGAAACGAATAAAATTATCTTCTTCAATCTAATTGAGTAATGATATAAGAAAATATCTTTTATTATTGCCTTGAACAATATCTGTCTATAATGTTAATCAGTAGGCTATAAGTCAATTGAATATTCTAATATGTAATCATACACCATCTGGTTACCTTTTTAACCTTTAAAATTTGTGGTGTAGGTAACCATAGTATTAATTCATTTCATTCTAATTATGTTCCTCAATAGTTTATATATAACTGAAAAAGGGGATTTGTTCTTGTTAATCTTCAGAAGTACTAGAAATGTACTAAAATCTAAAACTAGGAACTTCTTTTCATATTTCTATAGATCCTAAGTCTTTTTTATATATTGCAGTGACACAAGAAATGACATCTCCTCTTTTTAACTTACAAACGTGAATAATTCTGGACACACATGGATTTGAAGGCTAAAATTTTGACTGTGGTGAGCTGATTGGTGTCATTGGTTAAAAAAAAAATTATCACTTTAAATAGCATACACTTTTCACTTCCCTTACTTCTGTATTTAGGGATAGGGATTCAACAAAAGCAGTTCCCAAGACAGAAAAACTAGAACAAAATTATGACCAATAAATTTGATAAAGATTTTAGTTACCTATTCACTAAAAGAGAATAGTTCTTGAAATCATGTTTTTGTTAGATGGTTTCTTATGTCATGTATCCATTGACAAAGGTTTGGTCGTGTAATGTGAGGAAAAAAACATTGGTCAATTGTCTAATATTTAGTTACAAGTATAACATAGAGGGATGCAGATTTGCATGGAACCTTCTATTTTGATTCTGTTGATATCTTTATAGTCCTGGTTGCAGACCGTGACTCATCAACTTGACAATGAATCATCTACAACATATGCAGCAGTATATGCAGACCTAATTTGTATATTCAAATCATATCAAAACCAAAAATCATACACATATAAGATCTCATTAATCTACAGATACAAAATAAGTTTCATGAAAACCCAGTAAAAACTACACTGTATTGCATCCAAATTTTGATCAGTTTTATCGGAATCTTCTTAGTCAGGGGTAATACCTCAAAAACAGTTCATACTTTAGGTGTATAAATAATTTAATCATTAGTTAGAATATCTGAACATCAAGTTGATTTGTTTTGTTCTATTTTAAATGAGTGTTGTCACCTGCTGAGACAAACGGCCTCTGTGAAAGTTACGTTAGCGATCTACAACATATCACGGTAAGGAATGGCCACTTTTTAATATCACATGATTCTGGTAATTTAAATATTAGAGGCAGGTTGTTCTCTACTACAAGTGTTTGTAAACAAAGTCGATGAACAAAACATGCATTCAAACTGATAATAAAATGTATCATTGGATAATCAATTGTCACAATTGATAAGTGTGTGTCAGAATTATCTCCCAAAGTATCTGAATTTAAAAACTAATTTAGGTCGCAATCTGCTATATACAGGAAGTAAAGAGTCTCGCCCAAAAAGACACAAAGAAATTCACCATTCATTACCGTGTCAGTTTCAGCTTTCAGTAACTACTGAGAATTGCCCAATGCTGCTGAGAGACGCTTTTAATTGAATGTTTCTACCTGAGTCCACCTGAAGTCACCAAATAAAATTTCTGATATAGAGCAAGTTGATGGGGAACAGCACAAACTACTCTTTGTTGAGATAAAATGTATAGGTTGAAATGAGTATGAGTTGCCGGAATTGAAAAAGATAGGCCTTCAACAATTTAATGATCCTCTATATAATCTTATATATTTATCTATATAATTGTGTTGCTGTGTTACCCCAGGGTTTTGTGTATTGTCTTGAATGTTTGTCATCTACATCAATAAATAATAATCATCACCTACCGTTTTCACTTTTAGCATGTAATTGATGGGGTTTAACCATTTCTCTAATATCAATTCCAACTCAAAAGGACAAGAAAATATGCATAAAAAGTTTAGTATGAGGTCACTGCAAGGTTTCCCATTATAACTGGGAAGGGAAGTAATTATAGATTGCAGAAGATTACCTTAAATACTTTACTCATGACCTGTCAAAAACATAACAATAACTTTTTTGATTGAACCTTTCAAAAGGAACAGGTTTGCCATTTTGGGGATTGATTGGGGTCTTGAATATATGTAAATTGTCTTTAGAAGTACTAGAAATATACAAAATCGCATTATTCCTTCAAAAATACCCCCAACTTGGAATTTCACTTTCTATATATGTCTTTTCTATATGGCAGAGTCTCAAGGAAAAAGGATAAATAAATAATTCTGGACACAAATGGATTTGATTATTGATTAGATTAACTAAAAAATTCCTGTTTCTAAGACTAAGGTACGATTGATTAACACGGATGGCACACCAACCCTTTAAAAAAACATATAAGAAAACTATTTATTACTCTTCTGTCAGACCTGATGGATTCCATGGAATGTGAATTACAGTGTTTTTAATGAATTACTATAGTAACTATAAGCTTTAAATGAATTATATTCCTGATCAAACAATTCTAAATCCAACATTCCTGAAACTTATTCAACATTGAAATGTGGCCGACTGACAAGAATTACTCTGATAACAAAATAAGTTCAAAACCATCAAATGTTCGAGTCTGTCTATGCATAAAGGGCACTTACGCTGCAGCTTCCATTTGTATCTTTCCAATGCTACAATCTCAGTTTTTATGGCATTTTCTGGAATGACAACAGGAAATGGTTTTCATCTAAACAGAAGTAACATCTGTTTCCAGTAGAGCCCTTAATATTAACAAGCTATTTTGAATCCCTTAAAATAGTAATTTACTCACTATGCTTACCCCTTAAAAAAACATACACTCTGATAATTAATACATGATAGTTGAAAAATCCTTTTAAAAACATCAACCATATAAGGTAATCTATTTGTTTACTGCATCTGCCTCTCTAATGAAATGTCAGGAAACAACACCAGGAAATTCTCAACAATTAACCCTTCCTAACTGTTAATATTACATAGACTATACAATCAACTTGTCATGTGACTTAGTCAGACATCTTCATACTCTAGTTTCTATACAATCATAAAGCTTAACGTGTCAAACAAGCTCATTCAAGCATATGCAAACTACATATCTTATTGGCAGAACATCACACAAGTCATTGCTACAAGAATCCCATGATGTTCAGCTGTTTCCATTTTGAATTTAATTAAGTTTATATGGTGTAATTAATTAAATCAAAAAAACTTCTTATGTCTTTATGTGGCTCAAAAGTTGATCTATGCATATACCTTCTATACTATGCTTTTGGCAGAGTATGACCCAAGTCTTAGTTTAAGGTATCCTATTAAAAAGATATCTCTTACCTTAATACAAGGAGTTTCCACATGAAATTAATAATGATAAATGATGCAATCCGTCACTCAAAATCACTCTCTATCTTCACTTAATCTATTAAAGATCTGCAAAAAAATTCACCAACATAAATCACAAATTAGTCAATTTCAATTAGTAAAAAAGTACAAGTTGAACAATTAATAAATAGCCTATAGTATATTGTAGTTTTTTAAGCTGATAAATAACCATAACAAAGGAAGTATAGACTGTATTCCACGTCAGACGTTATGATTGGTAGGTTAATAATGGTATAATATTGATTCTTACCACCAAGTATCAGATGACTTTTTATCTAGTCAAATAAATCGAGAACATATCAACACATTGAGTTTATAGGTAGTTCAAAATATTAGAAAATTGAATAGGATAATGTTGATATGAACAAATTTGGACCCTTGCCAAAATTTTTATTAAAGTAAACATGTCCCCATTTTAGATAAAAAAAAAAATTGAAAAAAACAGTTTTTATAGATAATTTACCAATTTTGATTGGTATTTTGCAGATAAATTATTCCATTTTCCAATTTCTCCAAAAAATTAATAAGCACAAAATGTATAAGTTTATAAGAGAGAAAAACCTGGAATATTGCAGATATTACATAGTTTGTTTGATCTACCTCGAAGTTGTACTTTACAAAGTATGATCATATCTGCATAATTCAAAAATTTGCATTTATACATTAATATTAACCTAAAGGCAAAATTATAAGTGAATATAAAAGATCAATATTTATGAATTTGTTAATGGGAATCCAACTTTAATAGAGACTGGTATTGTAATGCGTAGTGGTTGTGTAGCTAGTATAAAGGAAACGTAACTTCACTGAGCTATTCAATGTTGGTCAGGTTGTCAAGCGACACACACAATCTATAAGAGAATGCACTTGTTTCTATTGAATAACTAAATAACTGTAAATTCAATCAGCATTATGTTATATTCTCAGGACAGTCATATTCTTTATAATGCACATTTTAATACAATATATTCAAGTCTTTATAACCTTAATAAGGTTATACGTTGACGTGGCTTTATTTGTCACTGTTATTCTAAAATTATAATAAAATTTATTTAGGCCTACAACACAAATCAATAAATTGACTCATCTTACAGAAAATACATCTGTGATTTTATTGATTTTTACAAATTTCATTAAGGTTTTGAAATCTAATTTATGGAATTTAACTTATTCATGAAAATCATTCTGACTATAAAAACTAACCACAAACCACATGAGAGGAGACACTGGATGTGCCACAGTACCCTTGAGCTGTTAGCAACCATGTTTGAATTTTGAGGGACTTCTAAAACAGATTACTTTGTCTGTTTATTCCAAATCATAAAATTGTGGTGCTGAATTATGCTCCTGCACAATTCAAACACATTTTTAAACCAGTGACACAAGGCTCGATTCCGGCAAATATACATATAACTGTACAAATTACATGAGATGACACCTTAACCCTAAACAATTGTAATAAGCAAGATAGAGTGGAGTTCTTAGAAACTCCTGTATCATGCTTACTCATCCCAAAAATGCAAACCCAGCGCCAAATAGTATAAATTTCCAAGCCTAATGAGTCAGTCCACAGTATCTGTTAAACGCCCCAATTGACTGATGAACATACGCTAAGTCAGAGCTTTTTTTACCATTCTCTCTCATTGGATAAAACAAGCAGCCCCCTTATCTACCAGGACATTTGTTGTTTCATGTGGTTCCATTGGGGGAGTTCTTGTTGATCTCAAGGGGAACATACAATATCAGAAGGTTAAATTTCTCCTCACTTGTTAAAACTGACTTGTTTAGGAGCGACATACTGGTAATGTAGGCCTATTTAATTAATTTTGCAATGACCGGAAATCAAGTTAAGGAATGATAACTCTTACCACAATGTCATACTATGCCACTACAGCTTTTTCTGACAATTTTAGACTATCATAAAGCCAGGAAATCTAGATGCTCCACTTTTATGGCAATGTTACAAAAATTAAAATTTGAGGAAATTTAAATTTAGGTTATATAGGCTATGCAACCTTCAGCATACAGATCTATGACTAGGCATATTTACGATTTAACAACAGAAAGTCACTCGATTTATCACAAAATTATCTGAAGCAAGCCTAGGCCTACAATTTTTCAGTCCCAATTTGCTTTCCGTTGACGACTGTTCCTTGACCTATGACCTTGAAATGGAAGAAAGGTCACGCCTATTGGGCGACTCATGCAACCAGTGACAAATTCATTGCTCATTTTGAGTCGTTTCTTAATTTTATCTGAATCATGGTCACACTTTTACAGCACAGTCCTAGCTATTCTAGTTTTATTCTATTTTATTCATCATCAAGTTAAGTAACAGCGAAGACTTCTTGATATGACTTAGCCCGAAACTTTCTGACTGCCGTTGACTTACAAACCTTCGAAAATATCCGATAAATCCAAAAAAATTAATAAAATTGCAATTAACTATTGAAAAACGCTTAATATTATGATTAATACTTAGTTTTAACTATAATAATGTATTACAGTTCTATGGTTTTAAGAATTTTCCAATTTTCAAGATTTTACAGGGATTCTGTTGTAACTTTATGACACCAGGTAAGTTCACTGATGAATATATACTCAGAATGAACATAAAATTTAATTCTTAAGAATGGTCAATATAAGACGTAGTTATCACTTTAAGATGCCCTACAGATTACAGTGCAATTATCAAGCTATCATTTCTATTTGGATTATCGTCTTTTGGGTAATAATGTAGATCTAATCCAAATATTTTAAATTAATTGTATAAAGGAAAATCACCAGGCTGTTGCCAATAAATGGCGGCGATATTGAATCGACAATGCAATATCATGAATAGGATGTTAGGTGGCATAAATCACGAAAAAAACTCGGAACCAGCGGGAACCAATCAATAAGTGGTTGAAAGGAAGTATTTTTCTAAATTATATTTATATCGAGTGAGAATTTGAAGTTGATCACACTTTATATATAAAGACTTATTTTTTCCAGTATACATAGGGCAGAATTTCCACTATCCCTAGCTATCAGCTTCAAAACGAAAGCAATGTCTATTTCGGCAGCGATAATAGACCAATGAATTACGACACTTTAATTTTCAGGGTCAAATCTAATACAATTAAAGTGCGTATATTGCATGTATTTGCTCAATGGATACATTTCCCTCTAAATCATAATGAATATCCAATCATATGTTTTGATTTTATCTAAAAAATCTCACATACAGAAGGGTAGGTGATCAAAGCTGACCGAGTAATTAGATTTTCTCGCCATCTTAATACCAATCGGTGACAAATAATAGATAAAACTGGATCAGAGAACCGGAACACGTAGGCCTATGATTGGATACATTATATTTTTAACCGCCATAAAAATATTTCCCTGTGCAGTATGTTTTAGGACTATTTTGTATGGCATGTACTTTTGATAAAAACATGAATCATTTCTTGGGAATTTTTAAAAAAAAAAAAATAGTCTAGCAAGTGAATCCGAATAATTTTTTGAAATGTCCTTTGATAGAATTGGATTTATATATTATACTACAATGAAAAGGAAGCTTGATCAACACGTATACCTTGTAATCTGTTGAACGTTTTATGACAAAAATTAGTGTGAAATTACTGCATTGGTGAATGCTCACTTGTATCTTATTAGAATTTGTTTGGGTCGACATAGATTCTTGTATACAGGTGAGAGTTATTTCCCATTAAAGGAGCAGTATACATAGGTTTCATTATCAACAACGTCGTAAATTATACCTGAAAATATTTCTGAAGTATTCTGTTTACATTTATGTATCTATATGATCAAACTGAATTTGTTTTAAAAGGGCTGATTTAAAACGGAGGGCACTGATCTTTAATTAAGCAGTTATTCAAAGGGTTTCAACAAATAATATCGAGGTATTATCTCTACAATTAGTAGTTTTCTAACAGCTTACACTGAATGTGTAAACAATGATTTATAAAAATTTGATAAATTTACAGAAAAAAATGTAGCCTTCTTTTTTCTCGCACCTGGTCGATGAGTATACTCATAGGATTGTTTATCCGAAACGGGCAACGTTAGTATGAGATGCACCTTCGTAAATTAGTGTTTTACTTCATGGTACTTGAAAGTTGCTTTCGATCTGTAACATTTACTGTGACTAATGGTCAACATACATATCTTACGTCACTTTAACTATATCAGCGAGGAAATGAAACCACTTTGAAGTAGTTTTAGAAGTAGTGGATCGTCTTTATAAAATGATACCAAAATATAACTCAACTAAGATATATGGACTATTGAATATTTCCACAGGCAGGGCAACAACAGAAATCTACCACCCCCTTTATCCTGTTTACAACACAAAACCAAACCATAATATCAGATTCCGATTATCAGATCATGTGGACCTGGGAAGGCTGCGTTTTATATTAAGACTGCAATAATTATTCATAATTTATTCACGAATATAAAAGTAATAAAGTGAATCAAAGTAAATATTTAGAAAGAATTGTGAGCATCAGATAATATAATGCTCTGGGCATTATCTACAAGTTCAATGATATCATAAAGCAAAAATCAAAAGTTTTGATTAAAATGAAACGATATAAGACATTACGAAATTAAGTACAAAAAATAAGAAAATGACTACTTGATAAAGGTTAAATACTTTTTTATCGAATTCTAACCCATGGAAACGATAACCCGAGAAGCAGCTTAACTTACTTCATATGGCCTTTACAATCATATTCTATGTATTTGAAAAATAACCAAACTTGCTGATGATAGAACGCAATAAGCACCATAAGAAACAACTGATCACCAACAAAGATCAACAAAAACAGCACGAACAATTTCAAGTTTACAAACATTTCAATTGAGGTGCAGTATGTACAGAAAAACAGAAAATGGCCTCCAATATATTGTTGCTTAGTGTGCATTTTAAAGTAAGAATAATGAATGAATAGACTAGTTCATGAATACAAAAAGGGACTCGAACATTGGAAAGTCAATAAAAATTCTTAGTTTGATTAAGGATTGGCATGCTTTTTATGCATAACTTAAATACTTGCATATGTTAGAAATAACATAACTTTGAAAAATGTAATAAATCAACCACTAAAGAATCCATGTGTATATTTATGACTTCACTACTGTGTAGCTACTAACAGTTTTACAAATTCAATAATACATTTAAGAATTCCGATTATAGTAGTAAAATGCCTATTACAACAATAGAATTCTTAAGGAAGGTTCAGAAAATGTACGTTGTTTTCGAATATGCTCAACTATGGCCAGACGATGAAATTTAAGATATTCATGTCTACCGTTTTCAGGTCCTCTAAACACATTAGCCTCTCAAATAACTCTTTATGTCAATGTAATTTGAACACCTTAAAGGGGCGCTCCCACGAATGGAATCTCTCATTCATTCATTATATGCAAAGCTATACCGATTGCAGAGTAATTGTATCAAAACGGCCATGCGTTTCGGGCGTAATGAAATGTGAATTTAGACTCCCTAAGGTTTTAAGGTGTCTTATTCCATGTAACAATAGTAAGGATATCAACCATTTAATGTAAATAATTGGTTTAAATACGGATCATCAATAATCCCTTAATTTAGTAAATTGTCCGAGCTGAATGATACAAAAATTTAAATTTAAATTTATCATATACGTATTACAAGCCTGCTTATTTGGTTTCATAATACATTTGATTTCTTTGACATTGTTTACAAATCTTATATACAGTCCAACTTTAAAACATACTTGTATAATTTGTTCAAAATATCATCAATTTAAACGAATGAATCAAAATAATGCAGAATTTAAAGGGACACTTGCGGAATTGCATTACATGTGCATGTAACCATTGACTCGTATCAAGATATAAGTAACATGAGCTCGTTAGAAATCTTCAAGTGCCCCTTTAAGAATCTTATCTCAACTGGTATCTATATAAAATATACTCTAAATTACTTTTTACTTGTGTTAAATATTTCGTTACAACGTCTGGGATCTACATTATCAGCACACATACATTTTCTACCGCCCCTTGGCGTGGGTAAACATAAGAATCTACAGCCTCCGTTATTAAAGGAACATGCGTTAGTGATTTGAGGGCATGTATTACGTACAGCTGTAATACCATACAGTTTACCGTTACCACCTGGGGCAAGGTTTAAATTACCACTAGCACCTGTATCGCGATTAAAACTGATTATTTGTTTCTTTTCCCAATCTGTCCAATATAAAACATTATCAACAAAAGTTAAACCAAAAGGATATTGAGCCTGATCGTAGATGATACGACGTCCGACTCCGTCAGACCTTGCACATTCAATTTTGCGAGCACCGGCATCCGCCCAACATAATTGCTGGGTTGTTACATCGATTGCTAGTCCATTAGGCAGTCCTAAGTCAGTTTCAACAATGGTTTTTCTTTCCGAGCCATCCATGCTTCCGCGTTCAATTTTAGGTCCGTTTCGATTCCAGTCGGTCCAGTATATGACAGACCGACTAACGTCGATAACAATCGATCTTGGGTTTTCTAAATTCTGTTTGAATAGAGTTGACTTGGCAGAGCCATCTAACTTGCTGACCCCAATAACATCCAGACCTGAATCAGTATAATAGATATTTCCTGAAACATAATCTACTGCGAGTCCTTCCGGTGAACTTAGACCATCTAAAATTACTTGAGAATTTGAGCCATCAAGATTGGAACGTTTGATCTGACCTCCGTAAACATCCGTCCAATAAAGATAACCTGTTTTACAGTCAGTTTCGACAGCAATAGCCAACTGTTCTGGGTCGGAAACAATCTGTTCACCATATGTGAATTCGGATGAGTCGTGGGGTGTCTTCATTAATTTATAGCCCTGGGCATAAATTAAATAGTTTCCTTTACCAACGATCGGAACACAACGTGCACCATTTCCTCTATATTTATCATTACAAACACAGGCATATTGATCTACTAAAAACAGACAAGATGCATTGCTGTCACACAAGGAGCTATTTTTGTTACAGTCAACAAGATCTGTGCGACGACGACACTGATATCCGTCACCCTGGTATCCAGAACCGCAACGACAACGGTACGACAGATTGTCGGGATTGTACAAGCATTCGGCATATGGTGAGCAGTTGTTTACTTGGTTACAAGGAACAACTCTTTGAATACAGACACGGCCATCGCCTTCGTAACCCGGGTTGCACTGACAAAGATAACGACGTGTGTCTCTCTGATCGGGAATACATTGAGCGTTCACATCACAATTATTGACTATATTGCATTCCGCCACGACACACCGCCTTCCATCACCACGAAATCCACTTTTACATTCACAGATATTAAACTCTCCGTCCTTCACACAATCTGCATTAGGGTCACACACTTGCTGACGTTGACAGTCATAACGTTGGCAACGATTTCCATCTCCGTAGAATCCCCTCCGGCAATAACAACGATTTTTATTCTCAGTTCTATCGAATAAACAATCAGCGTTCGGATCACATAAGGAACAGTCATCGAGTGGGGAGCATGAATATCCGTTTCCGGTAAATCCAGCGTTACATTGACATCTGAAGACAAAACGCTCAACATCGTAATTACATTGAGCGTTAGAGTCACATTTTTCACAGTCAATGCGACCTCTTGTTGGCTCACAAACTATTCCATCTCCGCTGAAATCGTCCATACATTCGCATCGATATTTCCCATCGTCGTTGTCGAAAATGCATTCAGCATTTTCACCACAAATGTCTGCTTCGTTGCATCCAAATTCAACTGGATAACATTCAATACCATTACCAGCGAAGCCACTCTTACATTCGCACATTGGTCTACCACGTCGATCACTGCATATGGCATTAACATCGCAGTACCTCCCACCACACTCTTCAAGATCCGGGCGACAAATAATACCATCTCCTAAATATCCATTTTCACACTGGCATTGGAAAGAGCCAGGAACGTTAAAACATCTAGCATTTTCGTCGCATGTATTGAGTTCAAAGCTACATTCGTCAACATCTTGGCATGTAACTCCGTCCCCACCGTAGCCCACTCGGCAGGCACATCGGTATGATTCACCAACTGGGATACAGTCTGCGTTTGAATCACAGTTCTGAGCTGCGTTGCTACAAGGATCTTGTCCTGCATATACTCCAACCTTGTTTGAACCAGCGTATCTTACGACTTGATCCTGTTCATTGTAGACCACAAAACTTCTTGTTATTGAAAGTTGAGTAATTTCACCTTCGTCTTTCATGGGATCGTTCATGCATTCTTTGAAATATATAGTTTGATCCCATGTGTAGCGGTATGCTACTTCGTTAATACGATATGTTCTGGTAGAGAAAGATTTGATTACACCAGGAGCAACCTTTTTATAATTTTCTTTGTAATCATCAACTGAGACTTTTGCATCAATAGGAATCTGTGGAATTACGCCATCCAATCTACTTTCCATTCGCATGTTATTTAATGCATCATGTCCAAAGAAATACTGATATATACGAAGTTTTTTTTCGTTATTTTGATCAAAGAAAGTCACAGTTACAGTTCTGTTAAATTCGCCACCAGTAAAAGCGTACCCATTTTTGGCACTAGGGTGGATTTGAGTAGCGAACATCCAACCGATCACCCCACCAAGAGTATTTAATGTTTGTAGACCAACGCCCAACTCTGGTGGCACTCTGCTTATGGCAGTATAAGCTCGCCCATCTGATGTCACTACATACGTATGCTGATCTAAATCCTGTAGTCGATATCCATTGACGGTTCCAAAAACTTTCCCGTTCAGACGTTGTGGTACTCCTGGTTCCAAGCATTGTCTACCATTACCGTAATACGGCTTCTGACATTCACAGCAGAAACCAGAATCAAAATCAACACATTTAGCATTTATATGACACTGTCGTGCACCCTCCAGACAGGATTGTTCTTGGTCAACTTCGAAAATTACAACCTCACCCGTGTTTAGATCAGCTGAAGCAATATTTGATCCCCCAGTGTTTCCGATATGGAACATCCATGATCCAGGAACATTCACGTTGGTATCATTGACGTAAGAGGTTGTCGTTCCAGAATTGGGCAGCTTAACAAACCTCTGACGCTCGCCGGAGTCAAAACCGGCTTGCGCTGGAACGTCTGGTAAACTTGGGGTTGTTTTTCCATCTCCGGTAACCCAGCCCATACCGTTATCAAGGTAATTAAAAATGGCGAACGAATCGCGTCCATCGGAAGCAATGACCAGTTGGAAAGTGTTGGTTTTATCCGTACCCTGCTTATAGTATCCTACTTTATCCCATGTTACGATGAACAAGGATGTTGGTTCGAACGATTCTTGACCTGTAAAGTGAGTTTGAATGTCCAGTGCAGCTCTCTGTAACGATGACTTGTCCTGTGTTTCTCTGTAATACACCTTACCAGTACCCCGAGTATCAACATCGGACAGATAGACAGCTATGATTTTAAATCCAATAGGCAATACCAATGTTGCTCTGTAGTCGGGTAATTCCGTTTCAAATGACAAATGTCCGTTCACGTTGATGTACACATTTCTGTAATAATTTTCGTAAAATGCAATGGGTGTATTCAGTGTTACTTCGTCCGAACTCACATCGTCTCCAACATTTAGAGTTACATTGTTTCTGGCGTTTTCGCCATAAGAATAGAAAAGTCTCAGTGGTACTCCGTGCACTAAAGAAATCATGCACAAGGCAAGATATAACGGTGCCATTTTCTGTCTGCTGTTTAACTCTGATTCATACTATATAATTATATATCCACTCATAACAGACAGTTCTTCAACTTCCTTGTCCAAATAACTTCTCACTCAGTAATGTAAACATATAACAGTATCTTAACATCAACTGACTGACCGAAAGGTAAGGAACCGACCAAATATATGCCAACTTCTGATTGGCTGTGAAGAAATTATTTGGGGGGAGTAGGTCAAATAATTTAAATAGCTTATGCCTGCAGTAATCGTACTACAAACTGGAGCTATTTGGAGCGATAAGGAAGATATGATAACCGTTCTGACACCCCATGCTATTCTATGGTAAGAAGTACTCACATATGGCTCCTATTACTCGCTGCTGTGTCGGTATCTTTAATGAACGATAGATAAAAGAAAACCATTACGAGAACATCTTAATACGTGTCACTTTAGAATATATATTTAGGCTACTAAACTTCCTTTAATAACGGATAATGTTTAGAGTAGTTTGTGGTTTATTTTGTGATTAAATGTCACCTTAACCACAATACGCTCCGTCAATTTTCTCGTGAAAACAATCGCATTTCGTTTCAATTTCAGTGTTATCGGATATTCAAGTAGATTGTGTCGAATATTTCTTCAGCCCCAATAAACAAACTTTTCATTACTAGAGTCTTGGACACAATCATGTTGTTTGTCTCTTGCACATGGAAAATAGATCAATTCCGCCAAAAAGTCCTAAATACATGGATCGTAAGATGTCGAGAATGTATAATACAATCATAGGGAATCATCTTTTACATCAATGATTCGATGAATATAAATTCATAGCAGCAAACCTTGGATGACTCCACAAATCCACAAATAACAAAGAATGACCTGGCCATGGCTGTAATTTAATTTTTTATAATGTCATAAGGAATCACACAAGGATTGCTTCTATGACGTTACCATTTATAGTAACATATCAATAAATGTGGCATGCAAACTTATCTTAATGTAAGTTTGAGTGGTTTATAAAAATTTTGTCACGAATATAATTTCATGTATACTTATCGATTGTCTGTGACTGAGGATGCTCTTATTATACTGGTGATCCTCAATTGATTTTAAATTTTGTACCTACATCTAGATAGGTAGGGTTTCAGCAAATCAAAATCAAAAGTCAAAGATGGGCTTCAAAAAATCACAAACGAAATTCAGAAAAATGTGCAAATTGTATAATGTGTGTGGAACTTGACTAAATTTTCATTGATTTAAGAAAAAATAAAGTTTCGAATTTAGGCTATAATGTTACATCTGTATTATGATAATGACGTCTGTCTTAGATATATATTCATGATAACATTGTTTTTCTGCAATCTGGCTAATAAACAATGAATAATGTAAATTTGACCACGTCCAGAACTAATTGTACAGCGACATATAATATGCTATAGGACTATTGTCGACATGACATTTGGGTTATTATTATTCTGTTCATGTTCAGATACAAAATATGCATATAATGTCAATTCAAAACTAAGGCATACACTTGTAATCCCAGTTTACGAATTAGAGGTTGAAATTCAAAATGCGGCAGATCTGGAGCACATAGGCGCACGTCTCCCATGTAACGTCTGAGAAATTGAATAAAATGAATGGAGTTTTACGTCTTACTTTTCTGCACCATGTCGGCTAATGAAGACGGTCAACGCCATACAGGATGCAATAAGGGAAAAACACATCAAAATCATATTTTCGATTTTCTTAGAAATGAAGTGGGGATGCAACAAAGGGTACAAACCATGTACCAGAACCTCATTCCCCCCACCTCCATGCACACCTCCCTGTACCCTTACTGGCCGTCCGTTGTCGTGTACCAAAAATGGTACACGATACACGAAGAATACCAGGGACAGACTGCATTGTCTGATAAGAATGTACTGTGTGATTGTATTCTATGATTAGAACGTATTATATGATTTGAACAGTATTGAGCAGTGTATGTCATCGTGTATCGTGTTCTCAGACGTACGTCATTCGTGTGAAAGGTCAAGAGGTATCGTCTCAAAAAAGATAGAAGAATATAAATACAAATTAATAGTTCAATTGTGAGATTATTTGCAAAACAATGCAGAGTTTTCACTGCACTTTAAGCAACCACCACCACACGCCCACCCCCTTTTCTCACCCAAAGTTTACTTACATTTTCACGGCATACATGCGTCAGACTTTATAAAAACTGTTGATAATAGCAATAAATCTTGCTCTCAATTTGTTATGTTTATTTGTTAGTTGTGTTATGGTCGTAAAGAAATGCAATTGGCATGACTACAGATCATCAAACCATTTATCAACATTGAATTACAAACATTCAGATAATGCAGCTTTTGTTGATTGCTGACCACCAACCGTTTAAATGTCGACTGTTTTTCTTGGCTTCCAGTTTTCCAAATTAAAGAGGTCTACCCAGTTAAAATGTGAATGTTGGGCATCCATCAACAGGTGGAATTGTCAAAAGACACTGTTCTGACAAAACGACCCCCATTGCGCTCCACAGTGCTGTTTGTATTCTTAAACAGGCAAAAACTCTTTTTCCGAAATGATTCCAGTTTCGAGTGAGATATTTACTTCGCATCAGCAAAACAATTCAATTCGGACCCCCTCTTTAAAGAGAAATATCTTGAACTTTGTTAGTGTTATATGATGGCCATAAAGAAACTAATTGTCATAATAACAAGACATCAATTAACATTTTATCTTCTTACTCTTTAATCATAAATAAACATTAGTCTCCTTTAATTAACGTTATAGGGCCTATTAAATACAATTACAGTTAGGACGTAAAGCTCCATTGTTTCTCGCCCAAACTGGATGACTAAACACTTTGGACCTCTCGGCCTCCACGATTAAAGTAACCAACATGTAAAAAGTAAAATGAGAATCCGAAGGACCATTAAGTTAGCGACAAGCGAAACAGTCTAGTTCTTCCAGTAGACTGCCAACAATATAAGGGAAACAACTTTTATAACAATTTTATAACTACAGACAACACTTTAAGTGTTAAAGCTTGATTACACACGATGTATATAAGGGGAAATGACTCTATTTGTCGCTTGCTCGCGAAATCCCGGTCTTCCCCTATCTGGACTCACTCCACTAAAACATTTTATGCAAATGATTGTAGTCCAGGCTATTTTTAGAAATCTTCTTTCTCTCTCCCTTTTGAGGTTTTTGCCTGCCTATTTTTGGGTAAAATTTGGTCTAGATTTGGAATTTGATGTCTGAAATTGCATTATCTTTCAGATTTGGTGAGATGATGAGAGACTTAAAGGCGGAAGGCTAATTCTTAAAATAGTCGTTTTGTGAAGTGCCAAACTCTAGCGGATGAGTATAACCGGTAGTAGTCTACTTTCAATTTTAGTAGCTCAAAATTTTCATGGTCATCATATA